AAAAAAAAAAAAAAAAAAAAAAAAAAAAAAAAAAAGAAGATAATGGTGTATTTATATAGTGGTAAGAAAAAAATGTCATAAATTCACTCTTGCTGCATGGACTAGCATGAAAGTACTTCCTTACTGTTTTAAGTGACTTTGGCCTAGTTCAGGCTTGTCAATTTTTTAAGTAATTATTTTGCACTTTGCAAAATATTGTCAAAGTTCTATTCACTTCTGAGATGTTCAATGTTCTGTTCTGCTACTGAAGAGATCCATGCTCTGATGACATCAGCCACTGAGTATGGCTTTTGACTTTGGTATTACATTACTTCTTTAGTAAACCTTGATTGTATTAACTGTAAAATGCAGTAATGCATGCAGTTCGATAATGAAGGCATGGAAGGTATATTTCATGTTTTTGCCACATATAGGGCCTTTCAAAAGTCATTGGCACATTTTTAAAGATCAGCCCAAAATGAAATGAAGGTATGACATTTTTATTTAAAGTAGTGTCTGAGTATCATAACAATTTTATAAGGCCACTGGTAGCCTATATTTTTCTCATATGCCAGTGTACTTTCATTTTGCAGTTTATCAGTCCATAATGCTTCACCTGAGTAAAGAAAACTTTAAAACCCTGACCGGTTTTTGCTTCTCAGCACTACACCCCTTAGTTCAGTTATCAGATCTGGATGGCCATGAACTAGCTTGACGACCTTTCTGTTATTTCACTGGATGCATCCATAAAAATAATATGAGACTAAACTCCATGATCTCCCTATCAGACCTTCCATCTCTTGGGCAACATGATGCAGATCTATTTGTCATATACTATTGTGCAGTAGTATAAAGGGCAAAAAGTTGCTCAGACCAGATAGCTTCTTTGCTATTGATTCTCTGAAGCTCCTTTGCATTTGTGTTTGACCAAAAAATCTAAATGAAAGGATGGGAAGTATTCCAGTGCCTTGTTTTTGCTTGACAGTGTGAAGTTGTTAAGAAAATAGGAAATTAAGAAAAGAAAAAATTCTATAGTTTGCTTTTTTATATGTATCCTCCAGGTGGTGTTGGCACTGAATGAGACTCTGATGCAGCAGGAGAGCCTGCGAGTGACAGGGATGCCGTTGCCTTCAAGCAGTTATTCTCACTCTACTGAAGACCTGATTCAGCATTACAACTGTGGGGACCTGGATGCAGCCCTGTTCAAGCATGACACCACCCAGATGCCTCCACTCAGAGGCCATGAAATGTCTCAAACCATGGATAAATATTTCCGCCAGGAGCTAATAGAGAAGAGGAACAAACGAATGGGCCTGCGAGTCCTCGATCTCCTCAAAACCTATCCCAATCACAGTTTTTTTTTCGCCTTTGGTGCTGGTAGGTCCCCATGTTCCAAGTGACAGATGGATAAGCCAAAATACACATTGAATTGGAATTCCTTTCTTTATTGCAGGTCACTTCTTGGGGAATCATACTGTATTAGATATTGTAAAGGCCGGTGGCTTCCAAGTGGAACAAATCCCAAGACATTGGAAGTTAAAAGGGTTTGTTGTTTATATTGTATAAGTTTACAAGTTTACACATGATCATGAGAAGGATAGGAATCATGAATGTGCAAGTGGCAGATGGATTTGCAGCTTTTCTCCTGTGAAGCCTGCATTCAATTTGTAAAATTAGTCATTTTTGCTGGCTTTCTGTGAGTCAATGGAATGACTTGTTACCTTTGATCTTGTGATGAAGGGAATGGAGGGAGAAGGAGAAAATAGTGCCCAGTGTAACGGCATTGAGAGACTTTAGTGTGACGGTGAGAGGATCCTTACAACTTCAAGGATCTGCCCACATCCCTCAGCCCCCTCCCTCCCCATCACCCAGGGTACCCAATCGAAGTGTCCACGATCTCTGGGTCAGACTACCTCCCAAGTAAGTCTCATAAGGTACTCATCTCATACTGAACCCATCAACTTGTTTAAAAAACTGTTTTTGTCTTCCTGTTTGAAAGTTGGCTGGAGAGGAAAGAGGAGTGGAAGAATGACTGGATGAGCAACAAAAGCAGCAGCATAACTCACAGTAGCTTTATCTTGATAAAGCTCATGTTCATGATGAGTGCTGCATCGTTCTCCAAATCTCATTTTATGATCTTGTGATACTAGACTCAAGACTCAAAGTGGAGAGACTTGTGTCTTCTTGTGTGCATTTTGACTGCCTTACTCAGGTTACATACCTCATTTTCAAAAATTGCCATAATTTTTGTTTGCTTGTTCTTTTATGTTCTTAAAAAGAAAGACCTATGATGTGACGACTTTTCCCACCAGTATTAAGAAAATAAGATACAAATAAAGATGCTGACAGATATATCTCTACTTGTGGAAAGCCATAATTCAGTCAAATCATGATCACAGTGAATACTACATCATTATAAGCCCTCTTCACCTGTAATTTGGTATACAATGGATGATAACTCTTGCAGGAGTATTGAAAGGTAGATGAAGGATGGAGGAAAGACGGATGGGGCATCCCACCTACTGCCTCTCTATTGCTTTTTTTTCTTAGAATGGTTCAATATTCATATTTCTGTCATTTCTGCATCTGAATTATGTCTAAAACTCCTGCTTGTAAAAAGCTTGTTGTCTAGTCAATTGGTAAGAACACCAATAGAATGAACAGGTCATGGAATATTGCAGACATAAAAAGATGAAGATGAATAGAGTTCTGACATCAGAGTCACAGTTATTTGAGGTTAGGAGAGCTGTGACTGGTATTCACCAATCCCTTCTGCCTTCTTCATGTCATAATTCATCAAAATGCTTTTTAGGAAGATGATGCTAGTGTATGTTCTACCAAAGATATGATGCATATGTGTATATCAGAGCCACTTCCCCATAAAAGTTTTGGATGAATTATACTACTTATATTTATAGAATATCTAGCAGAGTAATTGCCTAGGAAGAGCATTGCTCTGTCCTATAATCGGAGTTGAATATCTAACAGCTAAAACTGCTAATCAAGCAGAGAATTATCCTGCATCCCATGACCATGATAGAATCCAATTCATCCATCATAATTGCTTCAGTGAATCTGACAAAAGTAAAAACCAAGATCTGAAGGAAATGCATTCTAATTCTAGGTCACTGTCATCCTCCAAATGACAATCCTGGCAACATGTCATCATATACTGTAAATTCTACCAGATTTACCCAACTGATCATCTTAACCCAGTCAACTTGAACACATATTTTTCTCTATTGAGGACTTCTCAGTAGGTGGATCTTGTCCATGCGGTGTATTCAGGTTCATGAGCCAGGGCGGGGGAAGAGGTGCTGAGAGAAGGTTCTCGAGTGAAAAAAATCTTTCAGATGAAGCGCTAGGCACCCGAGGACTGCCTCCGTTAAATTCGCCATTGGGTGCACTGTAAGAAAAAGGTGACAGGGCCACCTAAAAGGGGGCTTCTTTGTCTCTCTGTGACTAATTCCCAAGAATCGTATTTCAGGCCCTTGTCAGGCAGGGGAAAAGCACTGATCGCTTTTGACTTTGACATTAGGTGAAGACACCGCCAATCGATGACGTGGTGATATTTGGTCTGGTCACCAAACTATCCCGAAAGGAAAAATCCATATCGTTGATGAACTTGCTACCGATTGCGCAAAAAGTACGGATCTGTGTCTTGATCAAGTAAATGTTTGGTAGTTTCCTGGCGTATTGGAGCTAGAGAATATTCCACTCTCCGGTCTACCTTTTCCCCCCGAAATTGCCAAATGAACTTGCATTTCAGCCCCTGGAATGTTGACTGTAATCGAATGCAATCATAAATTTGCACCTCATTATATTGCACTCAGGTATGTTATTGCAATGGGAATGTGGTGGAAATGCAATTCCTGATGAGCAATACGTTTCATTTGTAATTGTAATTTTTGTAAAGGTATGGCATTCATATGGCGATTTTTGCTTAACTTGCATTATTATCGCTATCGATTTTCTTTAAGGTAGAAATGAGGACGACCTCTCGCGCGTATGCAGTCTGGATTCTCCCAGCGTTCTCATCTCCATGCATTATGGAGGAATGTGGCATGTAGCGGTGGTAAGCTGTATTTAAAGCACGAATGTAATCACGAATTTAATTGTTGATAGAGTAAGGTGATCAGACGTTCCGGTTTAATCGGACAGTCCTGGTTTGTCAGGCTATGTTCCGGTCTGAAGTATCCTTTCCATCTAGGCAAGGCCGTATTTAGATGGGGGGGGGGGGTTTCATGGGGTTTAAACCCCCCCCCGAAATATCTTCCTTAAATTTTTGCCATACTGCTATTCGTTAGTGTAAACGGTGCAGTACATGGTCTTTCTATTTTTAATAGCTTATGACTTATTAAACACTGATTTTTTTACTTCAGAAGTATGCCACATTACATTGAATAAAATTTTACCAAGTGTAAGTCAGGAATCAAGATGTTCAGTGGAAGAGTTGGGGTGGGGGGGTTGCCTCCAATTCAGAAAAGAAAATGCTAGGACAGGAATTCCAAATTCCTATGTCTAGTGATGAGAAAAACCATCTTATCAAGGGTGCTGCTGTGCTACCTGGTCCTTTATGGGCCTGGTCAAATCATACTTGCAGCTAGTTTAATCAAGAGGTTACACTGTTTCCTCCCATATGAAGAATCCTGTACATGGGATTCTTCTGAGATCCTATGTATGGGACAGATACACTTGAATCCAAAAATGCACAGAAGATGCAGGCTCCATTTAGAACCACTTCTCAATATATAGCTCAATCATAAGTGGACCACCATTTTCTCAAATATCTCTCTGGCTTGTGAGATTTTTTCACTGCATCCCTCAACAACCATCTTGAGCAATGGCTTTTGAATATCTGACAATATGAACATCTATCAAGCATACCCAATTTTACATATCAGGACTCTACACTTATAGGGAAATTGGATTAAAAGTCAAACGTAAATCAATATTTGGCGCAAACGTACAACTGAAGTATCAAATTACCTTTCAAGTACAAAAATATTTAAAAGTACTGTAATCAATTGTTATAACGGATAAGTAGTCACTGATTGAAAAAAATGTTACAATCGTAAAAGGCGTTAGGGATAAAACCTTTCTTCCCAATATGCTCATTTACGAAGGTACGTTCCAGAAAAGTGGTGGAAGGTAGGCAAATAACCCATAACGGACGGAGGGGAGAAATGCCGAACTGTGTTAGATATAGTAGTACTTGCTTCATTACAGTTATATATATCTAAATAAATATTTAAAAAAGTGGTGGAAACTAAAAAGGAAGTTCCCCCACCACTATTCTCCCGCTTATTACGCCCTTGGAAGCCCTGCAAGGAAGACGCGGAGAGGGTAAACAGGGACTGTATGAAGTCGCATGGGTGACTTGCGCATGTGGTATGAGACATGGACGGAACAGAGTCGGGATGGGAAGGGCAACGGAAGGCAAATCCCAACCACCGGACTGGAGTGAGCGGGCGCATCGGCCCTACCCTGGCCCCGCCTCCTTGCGGCCCGACAAACCAATGAGAAGAAAACATGAAATGAAGCTCTCTGATGTCTCCCTATTCTCCCTTTGCAGCCCTCCATGCCGCAGCAGTCGTGATGGCCGAGTGGTTAAGGCGTTGGACTCGAAATCCAATGGGCTCTGCCCTCACAGGTTCGAATCCTGTTCACGACGGCATTCTTTTTCCCTGTTTTAACCTCACGATGGGATAGAGGAGGTTGATGAGGGCCGGGCTGCATCGACAGCACCCCTCACCTGTTTGTCTATCGACTTTTCGTGACGCAAACATCAAGACCTTGGCGGAGATATCTCCAGCTCAGCTCCGAACGAGAGGTCGTTCTCGGAAACTCCCTACGTTTCATCCATTGAATTCATTCGACCTTATGTAGGACAATGCGATTACGTTCCTGTTCGAGTTTGGATCCCTTTGTGAGTGTCTCATTCCTGCCTTTCTTTCCCTCTGTACCTCTTCTTTCCTTTGCCAGGTCTCGTGTCATGTGTGCGCGTGGGCAGGAATCTAATATTGACACGAATGATAGAATCTATGGTGCAAGACCACGGCTTTCCGTCAAACTTTCATTCCATACCCTGCTTCCTGTAGTGAACGTTGCCATGACTGCGCTCGGCGCTCGCGCGAATCGCTACCACGAATACCCTATTGTACAGTGTTTTTCACTTCAGTTAGACACTTTTTCACTTGACTTCGATACCCATGCATAAGGAACGTGCCAAGCACGTGTGTCTGAGTCAATTGAAAAACACTTGTAGTGAATTGAGGGTTGCTTCACGTGACTCGAAAGGCAGTCGTTTATAAACTAGAATAAGTATTGATTATGAAACCATGCCGTGCAGGAGTATGTGTTGAGTTTTGAATTGTGCCCCGGATCTGTCTTTATTGGCGAATCGTTCTTCGGAGCATTGGATTATTCAGATTCCGAGAAGAGGAAAGGAGCCATCGTTCTCTCACGCACGTGACACATGAGTCTTTAAGAGGCGTAGGCCTACCTTAATAAGGAACGCTCGACCTCGACACGTGGATATCCCAATGTCCATCCCATCGCCTCTAGATACCACTAAACAACCTTGAATCTTAACCATGAGCGCGAACTGTGTGCCAGGAATTCCCAGCTTGGGTAGAGTCCTCCTTGGGAGTCCGACGTAGTGGAAGGTTTGAGTGTCTTCGTGCGGTGCTGCGGTATTCGTCTGCAAATCCCTCGCCTACTTAGGTTCTATCACGAGCCCGAAAAGATCGAATGTGGCCGCTTCAGTGCGTCACTCGGTACCGGCTTCTTGACGTGCATCGGTCGATCAGCTCGTGTTCTCTTTCCCCTCCCCCCCTCCCCTTCCCCTCCTAAGAATTGACCTTGGAGGAAAAGAGCCTTGACCTAGCCAGGCCTGGATTGGCCTCATTTTACGCCTAACCCCTATTCATGGTGTGACTATGACAACGTAGGGTTCAACAACAGCCATCAGTAGCTAGGCCTAGCCTACGACTCCAGATCGACTCAGAAGGCGAACCTGTCACGATGTCTACGTAGGCCTAGTCTTAGTCTATGACAGAAAACGAACTATGCCAAAATTAGAAGATATTAGCCTAATCCCTATTATTTGGGAATGGTCTGCCCTTGGATGTTGGCCTAATTTGGGCGTAGCTAACGTTAAGGTGTATGACATGCTTGATTACAATATCGTGCAATGAAAATATAATAATGGGAAAAGGATGACCTTTGTGGCATACCATACGTTTGGTTGCAGAATTATTTTACAGCAGCCAGAGCTAGACACAGTTTGCTGTTGTATGTCAGGCTTACTGCTGTTCAGCATCAACACTTCAATACGGCAAGGCCTTCATTCAAGGCAGAGTTACCGTGTTATCCATTTTAGATATTAACTTGTTAACCTAAGACCTGGGTGGTATATATGGTGCCAAATCCTATTGGGTTTATTTTTTTTTGGGTCTGATGAGGTTAAGACCTATAGTTCATGCTAATGATGTACTCAAGGATATTTAAAGCTTCACAATTTTACGGCCTTATGCACAGACCTCAAATAATGTGCTTCAAACTCTAATGTGTAATACTCATTGTTCGTTGTAAAAGAATACTTGCTTACGTCATACAAATGTTTGCATCATGTTAGGTGGGAAACTAAGTCATATATACAACACAGAGGATTAACCTAAGAAGACCCTTAAAAAAAATGCTTAAACAATGTGATATCTAGCAATGTAGTTATCTAGGATGTATCTCTGAAAATATTATCATCCTGTGAGGCCAATTTGCCTGCAGGCACTCTAACACATTTGAGTCTATGCTTGTACATACTACAGACAATGTAACTTAGTCAAACAGACAGTGCCCATATCCTGTACATTCTTGCACTTGTGACTTTGCATTTTTATATCTCCTTTTTAAGGCATATGTGTGCCATCTGCTAGAACATTAAGATTCATGTCTTGAGATTCACAAAATTCCTAGTTGTTTTTTGCTGCATTGGCTAGATGACTTGAAATGAATATCATGCTGATCATGCTTTAGTTTATATTTATGACCTCTTATGTGAAGGTTCTGGATCAGAGGGAGATCTTTATAAATAAATAAATTATGTTGGAAAAGTATCTCAAGAAACTTTTCTCAGTAACCTAAAAAATGAGTTTATTCAAAACTTATTTTTCAATGCAACTGATATATATTTCATTAAAAAAAAAAGAAGCTATTTCTAAAGCTGAAAGAATGAAATTTTTTAATAAAAAAGTAATAGTATTTCCATCTCTCTTAGATTGCCCTCAGCAGTAGTCTGAAAGTTGTAAAATATGCTCAGTATCTGGGGAGTAACAACCTTCTTAGAGCTCAGATTTCAATGTATTAAGAGTCTAGATAGCCCCAAAATTCTATCAAGAATATCTTAGTATTCAGAATGCCTTTGTATTCCAAGGGAAATGAAATTCAGGGCTTGGCTTGTATTCTGAGTTGAACATAAATCCAAGCAAAGCAAAGTGCTTAGATATGGCTCTGCTTGGAAATGGACTTTATTCAATTGTATTCATACTTTTACTTGCTCTAGGATGATCAGAATGAAAATGAAAGACAGGCTAATGGTCATTATTTCATCAGAAGAACTTAATGTGGCCTCAGTACATTCATCTTCCAAATTAGTAAAGTTTCAATATTAACTACCTAACAAGGTTTATGGGTAAACTGTAGCACCTGCATTTATGCTAAACATAATCATAAATAATTTAATAATAACCTCTAGTGACCAAAGGATATTCAGCTAAATGACCAGCTCTATTAATGTTTTTCAATTGCTTCCAATTAATAAATATGGTCACTTCCCGTGCATTGGTGTTGGAGTCAAATGTAAAATTCTATATTAATTTGAGAAATTTACAGATGTTTAAAAAAGTTCCATAGAGTGTTGCTGTCAACAGAGTTCATATGGAGATCAGAGGTATGAAAAAGAACGATCAGCTGTGATTAATGAAATCAATCAGAATCCACTCTAGGCTTATATTGCTATTACACCTAGTTATGATGCACCTTATCATATACCTAACCAAACTTTTGGCAAGTTCTTGGAATGCTGAAACCTTGTTGAGGGGATATGCCTGAGCAGAGTGCACATGTAATGTAGTCTATGGGCATGGAGAGCGTGTGCTTATAATGTAGGAATAATAGAAACCTTGCCTAAGATGCTGTATAGTTCCTGCCAGGTATTGGCCTAATGCTCCCATGATAGGGCCCATCACACAATGCCATCTTATGAAAGCTGCAATGAATGTCTCAATCTAGGCTAGGCATTGCCATGGAGATATGCTTCAGATCTTTACAGTTTAGACCTGTAGATCTCTTAAGTGTCACCATTGGAATGAATGAGCCAGTGATTCATCCCAAACAGGTAGACCAACCAAAACATTGAGATATTGTGATGACAGAACATGACTCAGTGGCTGACTTATCTTATCAGTCCTAGTATGAGCCCAGCATTCTAGGGGCCTTGGGTGCTTCCTATAGTGCTTAGAGACAGAATTCCATGGATGATCATGTGGCAACATATCCTTTTCCCTGTTGCTGTCTTTCTGTTCTTCATCTGGAGTGGGAACTGGATTGTTGTGCATCTTGTTGCTATCTGCTACGGGTGAGTTGAACTTTTTTTTGATCCAAGTCCAATTCGATCTTGTAGACTCAGTACTATATTACAAGACCAACCAAAACTCTGCCAGGGTTTAAACTTCTCCAAATTTCAATGAAAGTTGGTTTTGAATGAGAGAGTTCTTTAGTGAGTTGGATGTGGGGATGGGACAGTCAATTGACCACCTTTTAATTGATCATTATTGACTACTCTTTTTTTATTATTCAGTGAATTAAGAAATTTGATAGAGCTCATAACTGTGGTCAATTATCCTCCAGCACTAAAACCAAAGAGCCAGTTAAATGTTATATTCATGCAGCCTGCTAAACATCTGGACTGTGGCACCTGTTGGGTATGAAAATTTATATCGAATGCTCAAACTACTATGACCTCTCTCCTGAGTGGTTTAAAGGCATAGCCTGCTGTTCAAGGTCTTCCAGCTTAATGTCTTTTTACACATTGCCCGCCACAGCCATATTGTCCTGGTGACTTTCCTGGACCAAAATTAATTTTTACATCCCTTGGAGATGGTGAAGCATGGTGCACACCAGTGTGCCCCATGGCAGTCAACTTGTTGAAATTAAGGTTTAAGAACCAAGTTACAGCTTTAGAACTTTAGTTTAATGCAAGGTCTATCATGGTCTTAGCCAATAGTCTGCATCAGAGTATCAAATCATTCTATCTTGTTAAGATCATATTAGGGGTCAGGAACTGGCTACTAAAATGCTAAGTTATATTTTTCTTTGCAATTTTAGCATATAGATGGGAAAGCTTGGTGAACTTCAGGCAGTGCATGGGGTCCTGAATGGTATGGTTGTGATTTTTGGGGTCACACGTGAAAAAGGTTGGGAAGCTCTGGCTTAGGCCAAAGCCTTTTGAGGCTTTGATTGGTCTAACTATGAAGAACTTCCTTGAGCAAGGCGGATGCTATTTTTTCTGGCTGGAAAAGGAATGATCTTTTATGATCATATGCAGTCTGGTCACTTGTTAGGGTTGTTGATAAAATAAATGGTTGTAAGTGACCATGTTGACCAGTCAACTTCCCATGCCCAGTCTATCACTTATGAGTTTTGACCATTGTTGTCAATGTTGATCAGTTAATTGCCATATTTTTTATTGACAGGTCAGCAACCCATCCCTTGTTGGATGTGTCCTTGGTCCTTTCCATTTATTTTCCACATGACTGAGGAAACTTTACCTTGTATCCACTTAGTCATCTGTTCTACTTCACAGCCTAGAACAGCTGAGTCATGCAGTCTTTTGGGATTTTTCTTTCCAGGAAGTGGAAGTTACACAGGAAAACAAGTGCTCCTCCTTCAGCAACTGGCTTCCCAGGCGTTTCTATTCTCAAGCCCCTTGTTGGTGTAGACCCCAATCTGACGTCAAATCTTGAGACTTTCTTCACCATGAACTATCCTCAAGTATGACACTACATTGATTTAAATCTATATAGCATATGTTACGTGCTATTGCTAGTTATTGTAGAATGCAGGTTTTCCTTCACAGGAAAAGGGGGGGGGGGGGACTTTGAGTAAAAGACCTTGCTTTTCTCTGTACTTTTTTCTTTTCCCTAGAAAGCCACACTGAGTTTTCTTCTCCAATTATAGTTTGAGATACTGTTCTGCATCCATGAAGATGGAGATCCCAGCATCAAGATTGTAGAGCAGTTGCGAAAGAAGTACCCTCACGTGGACTGTCAAGTATTTATTGGTGGTGAGAAGATTGGAGCAAACCCAAAAATTAACAACATGTTCCCTGGCTACAAAGCAGCCAAATATGATCTCCTCCTCATCTCTGATTCAGGAATTAGAAGTGAGTCCATAATTGAGTTTCCGAGTTCAACAATTACTTATGATTTTTTATCTACAGGGTATCCCAAAATTTTGAATCACTTTTAAAACTGAATGAGATTGGAACCAATCCAGCTAGACAGTTGAGGTTTGTAGCATGTTAAAGACTAACAATTTGGTTTTTTTCATCCAAAAGTGGCTATCTGAGTTTTCAAAATGACAACAGTGGAGGAGAAAGTAAAATATGTACAGTGGCATGTGAAATTCAGACTTCATCAGTTCAAAGTGACTGCCAATGTGGATAATAAAAAAGGTGCTGGTAGGCCTGGTACATCAAACACTGATTTTGAATGTGTGCAAATGGCCTTTTTTGCATAGTCCCTGTGATTCCATTTGCCAAGCAAGCTGAGTTTAAATTACCATGTACAGCAGTTCATAGGGTTGTTCACTGTTGCCTCAAGCTGTAAGCATGCAAGATCCAGATGGCTTAGGAACTTTGACAGAATGACCTACCACTGTGAACTCCATTTTCAATGGAGTTACTAGAGCAGATAGGAAACAACCAAAACTTTCTGAAAAGGATAGTGTTTTCAGACAAGGCAACTCAATTGTTTGGTGTCTACCATCAAGTCCCACTGTTACTCTTATCCCCTCCCCTCCTAGATTGAGGTTAGGAAAGGAACACCTCTTTTCATGTTAGCCTTTTCTCTGCTTTCATATTCTCACTCGTTTCCCCTGACGAGTTGGGCTTTTTATGCATTTTTAAATTGCACCAATTACTTTCTCCCTTTCTCTTGGGGTTGCATGATGCAAGATAAAAAATATTTTTTGACCCAAAGATCTGTTCCCTAGTGATAATCTTCTCTTCATCATTGTTGAAAGAAGCAATTGGGAATATTGATAGTAGCACCATCACCTTATCAGCAATTAGCCTGAACTGTTCTTAACAAATTTGTTAGAGCATGAATGAGTAGCTTCAAAGGTTCTTAGGACTATCTTTACTTGTTTCTAGTGAAAGAAGACACATTGATGGACATGGTACAACACATGACAGATCGAGTGGGCCTAGTTCATCAAATGCCATTTGTATGTGACCGCAAGGGCTTCCCTGCTGCTGTGGAGAAGGAGTTCTTTGGCACTGTCCATGCTCGTTTCTACTTGTCTGCTGAATTCTATGGCATCAATTGTTGTACTGGGATGAGCTCGTTAGTGAGGAGAAGCATCCTTGAAGATGTTGGAGGGCTGCAGACATTCTCATGCTACCTAGCAGAAGACTATTTCATTGCCTGTGCCGTCCTCTCTAAAGGATACAAACTCACAATTTCTTCTCAGCCAGCATGGCAAAATGCAGGCTCTCTACAGATCTCAGCGTTTCAGGCTCGAGTCACACGGTCAGTTTCCACCATCAATATTTTCTACAGCAAAGCTTTCTATCCTAGGTATATTATATCCTCTTGGTGTCCATATCACTGAGTGACTATGTCCCAAGCTTTGGTATTCACTTGATTCTGAGTATTTCTTCATCGATTGTTCAGACTATCAATCAATCTGGCATGAAAATATTTGTAATCACTTGGTTAGGACTGCTTCACATATTCCTTGGAAAAATAAAGGGCTAAAGTTATTTATCATTGGAGTGCAGAAGTTGAGCTATTGTAACTGAAGTGTTTTGATTTTTCACAGACAAGGTAGTAGTTTCTCCCATTTAGACTTCTGTCAAATTGAATCAAATCTTTGCTGCATGAGCTACTATAGACTATAAATGCATATTAATATACAGTGTGTTTGTATTTAAATGCATCATGGGGAAATTTTTTCCGTCTGTTTGTGGAGTTCAATGCCTTACAGCTCACTGGGCTGCATATCTGGAAGGATGAATCCTATCGCTGGTGTGTTTCCTTGCCAATAGGCAACACAATGGACACTATAGCTTTCACCAACCCCCATCTGCCGGTGGCAAAATTTGACCAATGTTGCATTTAAATATGAACACCCTGTATATTTTCAAATGGCTACATAGGATTACTAGGGTGAAGGATTTCATTTTCCATCTGATTTGTTTCTGATCTTTAAATTCTTGAATATTTTCAGTAGATAGCAATAAATTCTTTGTTTGCAGGTTAGGTTTTCTATTGTCCAAATAAACTGGTATAAGAACATTATCAGATGTTGAATGCCATATGGTGTTTTGTGTTGGCTCTTGTAGTTGGGCTCGGTTGAGGTATGCGATGCTGCCTCATACAATGATCCTGGAGCCAGTTGGGGAGTGTTTGTTCATGGGTCTCATGGGAGCATGGGCTGCTCACATTCTCTTTGGCTGGAGCCTTCTTGCATTTTTTCTCCTTCATGCTCTCATCTGGTTCATCTTGGACTGGATTCTTCTCTCCATTGTCAATGTGAGTAATTTTTCATTTGCTATTGAATGATTCTTCAGTCAATTCTTCAGTCTAAAATGTAGCTTGCGCAGTTTGGCAAAAATGATTCTTTTTGCATATTTATTTGCAGTTGTTTTCTTGGCATCTTAATCCATCGTTTTGGTGAGCATTGGGTCCTGGTCAACAATATGTACTTATAAATTGTATATTTAAAAAAATCCTACCCCCATCAGATCCTATGCTCTGGTCTCTGCAAAATTTTGGGACCTTTTTTCTACCCTTGGTCTTAGACTCATTCATTTGTGCTGTTAAATTACTTATTCTTATCTGGGGATTGGATGTGATTGTGCGTTATACATTTGGTTCAGTGAATTTTGTTTCATTATTCTAGTGTCCCTTTTACAGGGTGACCCATAAGTCCCAATCAGTTATGATAAAAGTTTGGAAAAAATCTGCCAAGGTGTCAAGACAGTTGGTTCCAATGTGCATGTGCTTTGCTGTCCTTCCTCACCCCTAAGAGATATCGGCATGCCTTTCGTAAAGTTTTCATTTTTCGGTCATTTGTAAAGGAGCAAGCGAGCAAGGTGTGAAGGTAAAATTTGGAGGAATTGAGAGCAGCCATCTGCAACACATTTGCAAAGATTATCCCCTGAAATGTTGAGCAAACATTGCATAGAACTTAGTGTTACACATGATGGAGCTCACACTGATGTAATCTATTAAGAAGGAAAATATCTGTCGAGATGGTTGTATTTTGTACTTTGAATAATTGATAAAAATTTCAAAACTTATTACATTTTTATTTAATTTTTTTGTGTTTTTGCCAATTGGGACTAATGGGCCACCCTGTATAATTGGGCCTAAAATTCTTGTCTTTAAGGGATACCCAAGTATCCAAACATGGGTGGATGTAGAATTAGGAGATTTGAAGTCGCCTTTAATAACCGTTCAAAGAGTAGCATCCAAGCACCCAAATATTGGGAAGTTTATTTTTTTTTTTAGCAGACTGTAATTTTAATAAACACTTTGATTTAAATCACTCATCCCTGCAAAAAAGTCTGAGTTTGATAGCTTGAAACTGATTAAGGGCATCTGTCTTTTGTTCCCCACATTGTGAAAGTTTGGCATTTGTATCTTTGTATTTTACAACTGCATGCTAACTTACTCATTGAATCATTTAAAGATATTTCTGAATGTCCACACCAGGAGTACAGGGTGGCCCATTTATATACAACTTTGTTTGGTAAAAATTTATGCAAGCTATAGTCAATTGCAATAATTTTTAAATACACAAACCATATTCAATAATACGAAGCATGCAGACCTTAGAATTTTATTGGACCAATTTTCACATTTGGAAATGCCATTCACTAGTTATGCACTTCAACATGAAATTCACCATTTTCAAGACACCCATGGTACCCAACAATGTTTTTTGCCTCACTTCAACGGTGATTTCACCAAAAGCATTCAAAATACACTGCTTCAATTCTGGAATGTCTGCCGGTTGAGTGGTATATACCTTTGACCAAAGCCCCACATGAAAAAGTCACAAGACTTCCGAGTCCAACGAGCGAGCTGGCCAAGGTACTTTCAGTGAACTGCGCCTCATCCACCAATCTGAGAACTTGTTGTTGGGTCAGTCACTCACATTGTGACCTCAGTGTGGGGTCCACAATCTTGCATAAACTGCAGATCATCTTAATGAACTGCACTAATGACATGCATGAATGCACAACATGCGAGTCACAATAAAAATAAAGTAGAAATTGGACTTTTCAAAAACTTCATGTCTGCATTACTTTGTTATAATATTGAAATTTGTAAACATTTGCATAAGCTATAGCCAAACAAAGTTGTATATACTTGAATAGGCCACCTTGTATATGAGTACCTAGTGTCATAATCCTGAGTATTTTACATAGCTTCGGCTACTATGTTCCAAGAAGTATAAATCCATCCTCCTTTCACCTGACAATATGTATCTTGAAGTTGCAAAATGTTCACTTCCTTCAGAATATTTTTTGCTGGAACTGGGAATAAGCCTACGAAAGGAGAAAGCATAATCAACTAAGCTGAAACTCCCTCCCCCACTTTGCTGATGTAATTACTTGATATAACTCCCATGGTATTTATTGCCTGACACTGAATTATCTTATATCCAGAGAGGAGGGATGCCAATGAACAAGTTTGAGTTCCTCATCTGTTGGATTTTTCGGGAATCCTCAGTGCCATATCTGTACCTGCTTGCATTATGTGTGCCTGCAATCCGCTGGAGAACAGGAACTTATCGTCTCCGCTGGGGTGGGAAAGTAAATGAAGCCACATCAGATATCTAGTCTACGCATTTAAAAATCCCCTTGACCAAACCTAATCTGTCACACAATGAAAGAGGTATATCACTTGATGTGCAATAAGTATCCCCTCCTTGCAAACCTGTCTTTCTTTTTGATTTGTTGATGCCCATCAATTGCCATCAGTGTTTTTTTTTTGTTGCTACCTCGGAGTTCAGTCAGTCATCAATTTGTCAGACTCTGTGGGCATTCCATGCTGGGACTGCAGCATTACATTTCATCAAGAAGACTGATATTCAGTCATTCTCATTCTGTATTCACGTTTCCTATTTGTTTGGAACTTATTCCTGCTATTTTTATTAATAATGAATGTTCTAGTGTTTTCCCCTCAATGATAAAGGCTGAACTTTCCCTGGTTTTATTCCTTACTGAAAGTATAACTGCAGTCCTTGTCTATCTAGTCTTCATTCCAGTTTGTGAACTGGATCTTGTTCCTTAGTCAAAAGTGTGAAGCATTTTTTTTCTTTTTCCCATAATTCCAATCATAAGTTAATGATTGCATAATGAAAACACTGTCTAGTCCTCCCTCATCGTGGGCATTTCTGATATTCAATGGCAGGAAAGGTGGAAGTGCCTGTGCTACATGTCTTTTTACACTGTGCTACATTAAGTTGAATCTCACTGGAGTCATGGTTGATCAAAGAACAGGTGGGTAAAAGTTTGTCAATGTAAAGTGTCCACATAAAATGTTGATGCTTTTACTTTTGCCCATCCCTGTCTTCTTGCAACTGCCATGCCAATCCATTCCATTCTCCCTCTCTTATCCTCTTTATGCATCTGTTATTGTGCATTTTGATCTATTTGATCTTAAGAAATGTTTTTTATCTTTGCACAAATTTCTGCAATTATCTGTTTCCCAAGTATTGAATCCTACCTGTGGAGGTCATGCCATACCATAATGCTTCTTTCCATGTATGTTTTGCATTTCCATCTGAAGAGTCTGGTTGTTACCAATTCTCAACTGTGATTGTGGCCCTTGGAGCATAATATTCTCATGTATCAGCTGAAGTGAGGTATTGGCATGATCAAAGAAACAGAGGGTGGAAGTTTGTCTTGTGGCCCATGCTGAAAGTTTTTGTTTTTAATAAATTATTTCTCTCTGAAATAGAAATGTGTGTTACTGATTGGAACACCCATAACAGTTGGGAACTGTGCTGTGACCAGTCATGAGTTTAGTGTACAGCCTAGAAGTACACAACTTATTTGAACAAATTAGATACCTATAGACTTAGGATTGCTTGCTTTACTTCCAAGGACCAGAAGCAGCAAATTTAAGGCCTAAGGACTGTTGGACCACCAGTTGTAGCCATTATTTCCTGATGGCATCTTTGTAGCACTTGATATGGAAAAGCTAAGAAGGGCATGACTGTCTGCAAGTTTATGTATTATGTTACACACCATTGATGGGGCCTTGATCTCTTGTTTACCCAAAACATTACCTGAAAGTCATATTTCACAATTCTACACTATGCACATTTCCCCCTATGGTGGGAGGACATAACCTGGCCTCATGGCCAGATTAGCATTACATTTTTTTTTTTGAAGCACCTACATTAAATTTTATTGGGGCCAGTGAAATAGATATTCAAGTTTTTACTGCAGACAAAAAATGGAAAAGGCAATAGGCCAGGGAGTGGTGGTTGGGGGGGTTAGGTAGGAACTTGGGAACCATCCTACTATGAAACATTTTTGTATCTGCTACTGCTACCATCAACCACAGTGGAAGCAAGAAGTTAAAATTTTCCATGACCAACTTTATTAGTGATTGCTTGGTGTATCTTTCTGCCTCTTATTTTCAAGGTTCTGCATCATTATGTGCAACACATCCTATTCCAAAAAAATGAAAGAAACTAGTCTATGCATGTGTAAATTACTGAACAGATTTCAGATATTTTCTTTGATGCAAGTTCACTTCCATGCATCATAACCACAATTTTTTGTCACAACCCCTGCTCCAGCCAAGTGTGTGTGACCCATCTGTTGTCACATCTGACATTCCTATTGAGTGTGCAATACCTTTTTTCATATACATTGGCATCTTGGATTAGTGGGTTACATGGGTAAACATTTTTTATGATATGAAACAAGAACTGTAGTGGGTTGCAGCCCTTTTAGCCCTCTATGACCCTTTCCCGAGTTTATTCGGTAGGAATGTCTTCAATACATCGGCGAAGTTCGTTGAGCGTTTTTGACCTATGTGCCTATCCATATTTCAGCCTTTGATCAGACAACTGAATTGACATGAGCAAACCAATATTAAATCACATAATAGCGCATTGACATGGCTGTAATTACCCTATGAGCGGCGAAGGTACTTCTTCATAATGTGAAGTGGTTTTTCTGGTAAATTACGAATATAATGATGAATTCTTGCAGCGCGCGCCATCATCTTTTAAAACTCATTCGGTTTGCTTTCTTTTGTCTGACGCGACGTTGTCGTTGCAAACTTTGACTATTTTTGACCAAATATTTACATAGGAGGGAATCATCAATTACAGCATTATCGTGCAAGTTAAAACATTGTAATGAAAAATAAAAAAATAATAATAATGCACTTCATTTCGCAATGCAGTATTATACTGAGTTGAGTAATCGGTTCAAAAATTCACCTCTTCGGTCAAAACTCAAAAAGACTCAAAGGACGAATACGAATCCCCTTACAAAGGCAGCTAAATGGCACGATTGTGGAATGTATGAGCTTCAAGTTTAACTGTCTAACCTTTGCCTGCCATTGCAATGAAGTCATCCGGAAAGTGAGAGGGTATTTATCTTATCGGAAAGATGAGAGCATGCACTAACAGAGGCATCCGCCTGTTCTTCGCAAATGCTTTCGTCATGCCTCATCTGCAACATGACGCATCTGCGGTACTATATTTAAGTCGTCCTCAATGGCGTCCAATCATCGGTTGTATCCTGTTTCAACATCCTCATTTTGGCAACAACAAAATATTCCTTAGTTGTATTGACAAGACTCCTTGATCTGCCCACTCTTCGCCGTTGCACAATGGGACAAAGTTTTGTTTTCTTGGCCGAAACTCATAATAGTTATCTTGCATGATGATACGCTGCTCACTAGTTACATAATAATCGTGAAGAAAAAACTGCAATTGCGGTACGTAAAAGCAGCTTTCTTATTTGAAATATTGCAGAGAAAACTCAAACTAGAATTACTTTCAATAGCCTGTTTCAAGTATAAAAATACTATCTTGTTGGATTTATAAACGGCGTGATGCATCTGGATGTGACTGACGAAGGCTTCTACGAGTATTATTGGGAATATTGGCCGTATCCAACCGAGATTCCCTGGACTTAGGAAAGCTCGCGCTAACACCTCCAACAGAGTAGTTGTACCCAGACGTGCCAATTTAGCATTATTACAGAAACAATCACTGAATTTTAATTAAGATTCTAACAGTTCCACTTTCCCTTGTGTTCCCCTTGCGGGCCTTATTTGAGGTGTACGCGCATAAGTGATTTTCGACTCACGTTCTCCTGTGATCGCGAATAAAAACCTCTTCACTCACATTCATGCGTATCTATGATTCACCAGAATCACGACCGTACTCGTCCATCATGACCACGGATGTGACTCAACGTGGATCGTGTTAGGCCAAATTCATACTCGTGCTGTACAGCACTTACATCAGCGGCAAAAACCGATACAATAAGGACATGTTGCATTGGATAGTATGCAGTTGCAGCATCCAGCATGCTGTACTGCACGAGTATAAACTCGGCCTTAACGCATGATACAGAGAGGGGGAGGAGAAGTCAGGGTGTCCGAATGTTAATCGGAGCCACATCGAAATCCTTTCCCGGACAGTCGAGACTCAACTCAACTGGCAGGGTCTCAACAATTCTTTCCCTTTTTTCTTGTTCCAATCAATAAGTCTCTCACGACCAACGGCGAATTACTTTCTAGTAACGCTCACGATGAGTGCCTGCTCTAAATTCCTGCATGCGTCACGCTCACTTCCAGACCTTGACACTTATCTTCAAAGCATCCGCATAGCATTAGCTAGGTCTACCGTGTGCCTAGGAATCCTAGAACCTTCCCAGTAACAAAAAAAAATAAATAAATAAAATAAATTAAAAAAACCAGCTCAGTACATCACTAAAAATTGGCAGAATTCTTAAGGAAACCCGACTCGGAATGCCTGTGTTGTGCCTCTCGTTATGAATAAGCATATACCTAAACTTATCTCCATGGGAACGGCAGATCAATAGTTGAGGATCTGTAGAATTCCTCCATGAGCCCAGATGAAAGCGTTCTTCAGAACCCCTCAATAGAAATTCTTTACTCAAGAACTTCTAATATTGAATAGTCTTCTATTATAATATAAATAAATCCTTCCACGGCACCTGCCGGTATTGGAGATATGAGGGGGGATGAACCACATCCCAGACCTCATACTCGCCTAATTCTGAAGGACACGGCGAAGGATGCTGGCCGTGCCCAAGATTGCTGTACGCTGGAGGATATCGAGTGATATTTCACACTCCAGCTTCCTGACATGTCCCTTGAGGTCTTTCAGGACAACGCCAGTTGTGCCTATGATGATCGGAACTATGGTGGTCTTCATTCCGCACAACTGTTCCACTTCCACTTTCAGTTCGGAGTA